AAAAAAAAAAAAAAAAAAAAAAAAAAAGGTTTAAGTGGAGAATTAGACGTTGGCAACAGGGGTGGGAAATAACTGGAGAATCTCCCCCCTAAAATAACTTCTTTTTTTTTTTGTGTGTGTGAGGGGGAAAAGGCGGTGCGTCGTCCGGCTGTTTTGCCCCCAAACGAAATATTTGCCCGCACATCTTCACATCTTTGCGTGCACGAACGCCTACACGAAAAGATGGACGGGAGCAAAAAAAGAAAAAAGGGGGGAAAATCCCGCGCAACAGCCCAAACGTCAGTCAACAAAATCCCTCCTTTTTTTTTTTTTTAATGTCTTTTCCCCAACCAAAAAAAAAAAAAAAAAAGAAAAAAAGGAAACACACACACACAGATACATATATATATATATATATATGGCGTCATTACCATTTTAAAAAGACTATTTAAATCTCATAATGATGCCAACAATAACAATGATAAAAGGCCATTGACTTCCGATGATTCTTCATTTATTTATTTATTTATTTATTTTTTCTTTTGTTTCTTTACAGAAACACAAATATGTATGTAATACCAATTGCCAACACACATACACACACACAAAAGAAGAAAGAAGAAAAAAAAAAAATAAATAATAAATCATATGCAACTATATAAATATCACCCGTATATATATATACATATACGTACATACATGCATGCATGCGTATATATATATATGTATATAACCCGGTATCCTTAATTCCTTATGCACACGTGACACAATAAGGAAAACAAAGAAAAAAGACAAAGAAAAAAAAAAAAAAAAAAAAAACAACAACTACAAACCAACCAACAAAATAAATAAAAAAATAATATCCACAGAAAAAGGGAGATGTCTCTCCCTCTCTCTCTCCCCCCCCCCCCCCGGTATTTATTTATGCATGCAACACCCCCCTTGGGACCTGCCACTCAAAACAAAACTTCGACATCAACGCAGCTCGAGTTATTCGACCAAAAGACATCCCATCGATACTTCCCCCTTCGCCTCGCTATGCATGTATTGATATAAAATAAATATTTTATATTCCCACCATTTCCCCCTTCCCCCGCTTTTTTTTTTTCTTTTTCTTCCCCCTCGTCTTTACTCACAAAAATAATAAAAATAAATAAATAAATAAATATAATTCCTTTTTTTTTTTTTTTTCTTTTCTACTCCAACTGCTTGCCCACATCAACTTGTCAACAACAACAAAAAACATTACTCCCTCTCATTTGTGTGCATTCACGCAGTCCATTACCATCGCACGAAATGGGGAGGGGGACATAAACGCACACCGCGCCACCGCCACAAACAAAAACAAAAACAAAAGCAAAAACAAGAAAAATAAGTGCAAAAAAAAAACAACCAAACAAACAAAAGAACAAAAGGGAGGAATAGCAGCCGGGAATCAGAGAAGCACGCAGGGGTTCAATGCAGCCGGGACTCCCCAATTGTAAGGGCGGAAAAGAAAAGAAGAGAAGTGAACACCAACAAGGAGGTATATATATATATGCACTGGAAGAACCAAAAACAAAAACAAAAAGAAGAAAGAAACAAAAATTAAAAAATACACAAGTCACACAAAAATAAATATACCCCTAACGAAAGAAAGAAAGAAAGAAAAAAGAAAATTCCTCCTCCTCCTCTTCTTCCCAAGATAAATAAATAAATAAATAAATATATATATATATGTGTGCATATACTTATATATATATATTTCATTCGTATACGCCCAACATGCCTCATTATTACCAAATATATATATATATATATATATATATATATATATTTCATTTCCGCACACACACACAGAGAGAAAGAGAGAGAGAGAGGAGAGGCAAACAAACAAACAAAAAGAAAAAAACAACGTCAACCCCTCCTCCCGTTTTTTTTTTTCTTTTCCTGGCAACAAATCCTTCTCGTGTTAAAACCTCCGCATCACTCTCTTTCTTTATCCACTCCGTCCAAATTGTGAGAAGTCCTCCTATCCTCTTGACATCATTTAATTCGTCTTCTCTTCCGTTCTTTTTTTTTTTTCCTTTGTAAATATGCTTGCGTTTTTCCAATCATTTAGCTTCTCCTCCTCCTCCTCTTTTGAGTGACTCTTGTGTCCCCGCAACTCCACACTTATTTATGATTATTATTATTATTTTTTTCTTCGTGTTTGTGCCACCACTCAAAATCATGATGATGCCGTACACACATTTGCGTGCGTATGCACGTGCCGTGAGGAATGGCGTGTACACACACAAACACAGTAGGCCTCAGTAGAATCTCCTTTTCTTGTCTCCTCCTTCTCCTCCCCACCCCTGACACTTCCCACTTTCCTTCTGCCTTCGGCGGAGGAGAGAGAGGGGCGAGGGTGGCGGCAAGTTTATTTCACACTACGCCGAGATTTGAGATCTGGTCCGCCGGCTCTCTTTTTCTTCGCTTACTTTCAAGCAGCAACAAATGCTCCCGTTCTGCGAGGTCACGTGGGGTAGGCCAGAGATTTTTCTGGAAGCACAACACCGTCAGGTCAACGATAAAAATCAGGCTTCCAAACAGCAGCAGCTGGTACAACCAGAATTTCGCCCCTGACATAAGAACGTAACTCTGCCAGTATGTCGACAGGTCGCCGATACGAGGAAAAGCGGAATAAATGGTAAAAAAGGCAAACACAACAATAACTGAAAGAATAATCCCTAAAACCTGCAGCAATTGCCAATACCGTATTTGTAGGGCAAAACGGCCCAGTACGACCGACACCAGCACGAAGAGACTCATGGAACCCACCATAATACCGTAAATATCGTGTTGACGATTGTAGTCACCATTTACCATCGTCGGGTAAATCACATAAAATATGACGCATGCATGAAACGCGGCCTCGAGGAACCATCGCAGAAACACAACGCAGCTAAAATACAGCCCGTGAGAAAGGGGCGTGAAGAGGTCGGGGCGATGAGTCAATACTTCAGAGGGGAGATCCTTTTCAAATATGCCCATAAAGAATGGTGGAATACTCGTCATCATGACGTTGTAAAACGTTAAGAACCATCCGTCAAAAAGTGTGAGCCCTGAAAATCCACAGTAAAAGGCAAAAATAAACTGCATAAAGGACAACGTAAAGTTTTTGTAGAAACTCACTACAATACAGCTCGCATTACGGACAAGCGAATAGCGCCCATGAACGGCACAAAGTCGAAGAAGATCTCTGAAGCGTGGAATGGCGTAGTCAGCAGCGAGGGCTGCTTGGGCCCCTTCAAGGCCAATAATACCGATACCAAGGCGGGCTTCTTGAATCATGGAGACATCATTTGCACCATCACCAATGGCAAGGGCGGTAAAGCCAGTCAATTTTTGAAACATGCGCACAATTTCTGCCTTTTGCAATGGCGTGAGTCGACAACAGACGGCCGAACTAACGCACTTGGACAGCCTGACAAACAATTCAAAGTAGTGCTCCATAACCACACCAAGAGACGTACCATCAATAACGAGAGTACACCGGACACCCTCTCTTCGTCCACGTTCCAAGTGCAATTCCACCTGATGTAAATCGGCGCCAATTTTTTCGATCGCCTCAGGATCTTTTGGATCAAGTGAGCCCAGATCAACATGCACAACATAGTCCCTCCGTGGGTCAAGCAGAGATGAGGTCGCGGCAATCGTCACGGCTGTCTCCCGCTTATCGCCGGTGAGCATCCACATCATTACACCCGCCTCACGAAAAAACGAAACCGTTTCAGGCACCTCCTCCTGCAACTTGTCTTCAATGGCGGTGGCTCCAAGCAGTCGAAGCTCCTGTTCAATCTCTCCACACAGCCTGTCCACGGCTTCATTGCGTCGTACAAGCACTTTCCCAGCGGCTAAAAAGCGTGTGTTCCACTCACTAAACATCTCGGACGTGAGATCACGGGTGGCGATAAGAAGCGTGCGTAAGCCTTGTTCTGCCATATCCAAAAGACTCTGTGACAGAATTTGCATATACTCCTGAACATCTTCTTCATCCGCGGTCCGGGATCCTACTGAACTATCAGCACCCTTCGTAAAAAGTATGATTCGATCTGTATTGCGTTCTTGTACAATGATACTCATCATTTTTCTCTCAGGCGTAAACTCCAAGGTGGCAAGAATGTCATACACTCTCCTCTCCCCTTCCACCTCCACCGTCAAGCAACGTGAATTGCGTTCCAGTAGTCGAAAACCGTGCTCTGCTGCTGTCGTCACCAGTGCGACTTCGTCGGGAGAACCTCCCTCATACACCACACCAAGGGGGGCGTCGGCATCGGGAAACGGTTGAATTGTATGACAAATAGCCAATGCAAGAAAATACTCCTCCGCGGCAGTACGAACGACCCCCTTTCGCTGAAGTAATTCCAATGAAAAACTATGGTTTTCATTATAAATTAAGTGACCCTTGATATCACCCATTTTAAATTTCATAGCATTCTCTGTCAATGTGCCGGTCTTGTCGGTAAAAATATAACGTACCATCGCAAGCTGTTCATTCAAGTTTGACGTGTTTGGTTTGCAACGGCGCCATCTTCCATTGACCATCTCCATCATTTTATTGTCCCGTCTTATCCAATACGCCTGAATAACCTTGCATAGTTCGATAGTGACGAACAGTGAGATGGGAATAAGGTAGCTGAGCAACACAAAGTAAGTAAGGTAGCTCAAAAACCATTGGGCGGCCTTTCCATGACCCTCCAAGTACCACCGAATGTACCAGTGGTTTTTGTGTCGGCCGTTCCACCACACCGAAAGTGAGCAAAGCAGGAAAAGAAACACGTTTTGTAACACAAATACAATAATGATCAAAATGTTTAGCTTCAAGTCCAAATCGGATGATTTGGGAGGCCGTTTCCTCAGGTTACGGAACATCTTGGTGTCGACACCGGCGTAAATAACAAATCCCCACAGCCAATCCGTCTTGCGAAGAATGCAGCCGCGGTACAAAAACTGATTGATATCTACGGCGTAATCCTTCCCGTCAATTTCAATCCGACCGGTCCATGCCAATAGTCCAGGTTCAGGGGGTACCGTGTACATTGTGATTTGTGCTGCATTCAGACCTTCTGGCGAACAAAGTGATCGTGTCACTTCAATCGACTTGCGACCTTTAAGACTCGTCTCACCGTCTAAATTGCATGTGTCAATAAATACTTGTCCCTCCTCCGTGTGAGAGGACAAGTAAAATATATCGGCCCGCACCTCCTCTCCATTATGCACACGCACTATATCTCCCGCTCGCAGATCTCGACTCGCAACTTTTTCCAACTTTCCATTCACAAGAATATCCACCAAAATGGAATTGGCCTTTCTGTCCGCACGATGACGCTTAAACTCCTCCACCGCCTCCTTGACCATCGCCACCCCAATCACAAATACAAGCGGGGCGATGGCTGTTGCAGGGCTTATTGGGGATACACCGGGGATGAGGGCAAGAATCATACAAATAAGAAAATAAAAGTTGCTGACTTTTCTGAATTGCATAAGTAATCCCAGTGGAAGAAATGTCAAAAGTGTGTATTGCGTCGTCCTAATAAAATTGTCCGGGTAATTGTAGGGCGCGTTGGCTTTTCGATCGTTCATGTGCACAACAACCTCCACATGCTCATCGTCATCCAATTCGTCCTCGTCACGCTTGCAGCCACAGCACCATGCACAACCCCTCACTTTCCCATAGACCATGATCTTCTATCACTAAAAACAAAACAAGAAACAAACAAGTAAAAAAAAAAAAAAAAAAAAAAACAAAGGGATGTCGGCCGTCCTCAAGTATATTTACTTCTGTGTTTGTTCGTACAGGCGGTATTTGCTGTGCGTGTGTGTGTGTTTTTTTTTTCCAAAAATTTTTGTAACCAAACACACACAAACTCCTCCCGTTTCCTTCACCCTAAATTCTTTTTTTGTTGTTGTTGTTCTCTTTTCTTCTTTTTTTTTTTTTGCTTCTGTGCTTTCCGCTTCCAGTCGTTCTCAATCGGTACTTCCAGTTCTGAAGAAACAATTCCAATGGCAAAGCACGAGAAGTGTGTTTACCGTTTTTTTTTGTTTTTTGTTTGTTTTTCGTCTTCCCTTTTTTGTCGTTGCTCTCTTGGTTCCACTGCTTCCTTCTCTGCCTGCCTACGAATAAGGAATATGCCACGGGAGGCCCTTGGAGGTGCAGAAGGAAAGGGGAGGGGAGGAAAAGAAAAAAGAAAACAGATGAAAGAGTTAAGAGAAACAGTAAAAAAAAAGAAAAGAAAAGAAAAAAGGCAGGTGCTAAAGTGCACGACAGCAGTCGTCTTAAGCACACACATACACACACAAAACAAAAACAAAAACAAAAACAAAAATGTGGATATGAAGCGTGGAAGGCGCTCACAGTCGGAGAAATTCACTCCAAAGCCATCGCATGCGCCGGCAGCGTCATCACCGCCATGTGACCCTTTTGATCCTTCAGAGCAACACGACCACGCCCTTCCATGAAATCCTGCAGGAGCGTCAGCGCCACCGCTGGTGCGAGAGGCACAAACCCACGCCGCTCATAAGCCGCCACTACATCCGCACCGCCCTCTAGAGTGCGTGGACCGTCGTTTACACTATCAACACCAGAGTTACGAGACTCATTCAAATCATCCCTGCAATGATTTTCCCCACCATCCTCATCGCTCCGTCTGCGCTTCCTCATGATGCGTGAGGATAAGAGTTCCGGTAAAAGAGGGGGCAAACACTTGGCCGCATTTTCCCGACAAGTCTCCAGCGCAGCAGTCATTTTTGCTTCAGATGCAAAAGCCACGGCAGTGACACCATCAGAGAGCTCGCAGCGGGCGACGACACCATCAAGGGTGTCGACCACAGAGGAAGAGACAGTTGCACACACGGAGTATGCGTAGTGTGCGAGCTGTGGCGGTAACGGCTGGGGGATAAACAGGTTATTTTCCCCCGTGTCAAGACGACTGGCACGCTTCACGTGGATCGACAGCTCATGAAATGTCGGTGTTGGGCCCTCCCCCAGCCGTCGAAGTACATCCGCGGCCGTCGCCTCGTCACTGAAGTGCACGTAGGCGTGTCCCTTGTGTGTCCCGCTGTGTGATCCCTGCAGCAACTGAATATGAACGGCCTCAGGGAAAAGTTTTGCGAGAAACTCCTCAACCTCCTTCGCAGGGACACTCTTGGAAAGCCTGGAAACAAACAGCCTCACTGTCATGCTCAAACAAAAGGAGGGGAAAAAAAGAAGATTAAAATCCCTCGCCTTTTCAATTGTAAAACAAAAAAAAAAAAAAAAAAAAAAAAGTAAATAATAAAAAGGCACTGAAATTCAAATACGAAAAGAGCAGAAGAAAACAAACGAGGCACCTAACCCATTCCCACGCACACACACACAAAAAAAAAATAGTAATAATAATCGCAAGCCACCACCGCAACACAACAGGTATGAAACAGGGGGGAAAAAAAAATAAATAAATAAATAACAGGGACAAAAAAACAAAAAGGAATTCTCTGCACTTTCGCTTGTCGACGTTATCAATGTCGCACGCAATCGTCGCGGTTACCTAAAAAAGCGAACTGCCCTGTTTTTTGATTAACCGCCATTTACTTTTTTCCCCTTCCTCCAATCAGCCTTATCCACGCCTTCTCCCACAATTTGTTGCATTTTTTTTTTCTTTTGGTTGATTTGGGTGTTGCCTGTCAACGTCACTTTTTTCGGAGCCTCGAGAGGATTTCTTCATTTTGCGCTTCGATACGACTGTTCTGCTGCCGCAAACGCTCCAAATCAGACAAAATAACGTTGAAGGACGCGGAGGAAATGTCACTGCTGGCGATGCTGCCGGCGCTGTCAGGCCGCCGCGGCTGACGGGATTGAACTCGGGCATACAGACGGCTTAAAGTGTTAAACATCTCCTCCACCGTCTCAGCATCAATGTTCTCCGCACCATTCACGACACCTTCTTGGTCTTGTTGCTCGTAAGCCTCGGCAAGATCAATAAGCGCATCGCGAATCTCGCACGAGCGAACCCTCACACAACTCGACGAGCTGGAAGCCGCAGAAGGGAACTTTGCTGGGGCACCATTCAACGCCACAGGGTCCTGGTGTAAATGCTGCCGCAGTTCTTCGTTCTCATTGGAGTCGATATTCACAACATCATCCTCCGGTGTTTTTGTCGGGCTTATCGATGGCTGCCCTTTTCGTGCAGGACTTCGCACTCCGTATGTGGGGGCATCCGCAAATTTCACCTTTTCCCGCTCGTTTTCGAGGAGGTTGGCGGTAATTGACGGAGTCAGCGTCGCCTCGCTCTCAGCAACGGTGCGCATGTTGAAATTCAGCGTGGTATCCATAGAAGTAAGAGCCGACAGCTCCACCATAGAGGTGGTTACGGCCACATCGGGTGCTTCTACGGCGCTAACGACATATGGCAGCTCCGTTGGTGCACCGTCGTTTTCCCACCCTCGTAAAGAGGGAATTTTTTGATCTGCCGACCCCGACGGTATCTGAAGAATGCTGTTCCCCCGCGCCAGAATTAGCACCCCACTGGAACTCGTTGTCGTTGTAGAATTTTGTCTTAAAGATGACAACATCGCAGTGTTCGTCTTCTTTTGGCCTTTCTCACGTTCCTTTTGTGTGCGTCGGGTTGTTTCGTAGTAACCGTGGAGTTCCTGAAAACGGGACTGCAGCTCGGTATTCGTTGGAACATCACATGAAAGCGAGCGCCTCACGCCACCGTGCTCACTCTGCTGTCGCGGCACCCGCTTGACGTCAGCTTTCAACGCGGACTCCAGTTTACTAAGCCGGTATACGGAAACCAGACCTCTCGACTCACACGTCACCAACGAACCCCCGTCCGCAGTGAAGCCAACGGAAATGATATTGGCGGAGTGAAAAGCACTTGCGTCCCGTTGAAGGGGGAGTTGGGCCACCGACTGTCTGTCCTTAAGAGAAACAACGGACAGTGTCCCCTCGCTGCGTAAAGCGACAAGATCACCATTGGGAGAGGCAACCACCTCCTTTAGCGCCGTCACTCGCAGAGGTTCTCCGACACGCTGCATCGTACCGGGGTCTAACACCACGCAGGAGTGACGATGGATCACCAACAGCATGCTTCCGGTGACTTCAAAAGAGATGATATCTTCAGCCATGCTGACATTTTTCCCTGTCTTTAGGTTGGCAACCAGATGCGTTGACGCGGCACAAACTGCACCGGCCACAGATACCAATTTTGTCAGCGGCGTCTTAAACCCCGTCAACCGCGTCACTTGCAGTCCTTGAAGAATAAATTCATCTTTAGCTTTCCACTGCCCTTTAAAGTAGAATAAACTATTATCCAAGGAAAGGCTAACAAACTGATCCTCTTCATGAATGGCCAGGCTCGTAAGAGGCTCATCGACGCCAAGACGGCAAAGTTCACGTTCCAAGTTGGGCATAATCGCAACAATTTCGTAGGCAGAAGAGTCGTATACCAACAGCACCCCAAGAGTGCTGTGATGAACAGCGCATGTACTTTCAATAGTCATGTTTGAATTTCTCCAATGACTTGTGTCATACAGCCGTAAACGCTGTGGAGACCACAAACAGAGCGTGTCTACGGTTAAGGGGATCCAGCGTAGCGGGCCCTCATCCGGCAATACGGGAGTGTACTGATCAACTCGATGAAACGACAGCCTCGAGTTCCCACTAATGGGCCTAATGACGCGGTACCGCGACATATCTCCCCCGCTAAAAAAAAACACAGCTCGCTCCTTCCCACACACAGCCGCCCCGGTGCATAGCGAGTCCATCAGTCGTGTCAGAAGCGACAAGCTCACAACGGTGGAGGGCCCACTTTGTTTGATCTTGCCGTGAAACTCCCATTTGTCAGAGGAGAAAAAGCGGACCAACGACCCACAGACAATGATGTTGTCCGCAATGCGGTACGCGGCAGTGGCGGGGCACACTTTACAATCCATCCACTTGACGGGTGCTCCATTACGGCAGTCAAATGACACCAAAAATCCCACGGTGGTTACAACCGTCAGCGAGTCCTCACCTCCTCTGGGTGGAACAATTGCAACAAACTCAGCATCCCGCAACTCGTTCACGATACTGCAGTTTTTGCTCAATACCGTAAAAACTGTCGTTTCGCCCTTTTCTGTCCTTGTGTTTTCCCTGCCGCCACTAGCACTCGGATGCCCATTCGCATTGACCCCACCCTCTCCATGTGGTTTCACTGTCCACAGCGTCACCTCCCGTTGCGTGCAGGAGGCAAATCCAAAGATGCCTGGTAACGCCACAATAGCATCAAGAGCATCCGCAGATCCCCGCCACAGCAGTGTCCGTGCGTTTGCGTCCCACAGAGATAGTTTAAAACGTTCCTTAGAGAGATCTTGAGAGCCGCAAGAAACCACAAGTACGTCTGAAAGCTTCTCGTATCCATCGATAAAACAAGCTGAAAAAACATTTTCACCCGTGATTTGCCTTGGGAGTCTCGTGGTTTTGCTACTAAGAGTGGGATTCGACGCGGTGGTCAAGTACAGGCCATCATGAGCAGTTCCAATACACAACAGTTCTTTTGTTTGGTGTAACACAATCACCGATAGCTTTTCTTCAGCCCCGAGAAACACGATCCGCATTGCAGCAATAAAGTCCTCTTCTCGCAATGAGTGCTGCTCCGTGCTTTCGTCTTGCAGGGCACACACAACCATCATGTCTGGGGCGCACCCATACGCCAGCCACTTGCCATCACCACCCACAGATACCAACGAGGGTGAACGGACAGCGTGGCCGGTGACCATTGAGGCCCGTTGCATCCTTACCCCTCTTCTTATTGTGTATTGTTGTTGCTGTTGCTGTTTCTCCCCCTACAGGGGGGTTGGAGAGACAAAAAGACACTCTCCGCGAAAAAAAAAAAAAAAAAAAAAAAAAAAAAAGAAAAAAGAAATCAAATTGGGAAGCGAATCCCACAGCAGAACCAACAAAGGAGGAAGAGAAAGAGAGAAGGGCGTGAATTATATATGAATGGAGGAAAAACAGTAACCCACACACACGCGCAAACCAACCGTAGAGGATTAAAGAGGCGGCATCACAGTATTTGCCGCATTTCCTCCGCGACAGGATCCCCTGATTGAAGAAAAAGCTCAAACGCCCGCTGTGCACTGCACACGTTGCACTTGTGAAGCTCTACACTGACGCTAGGGTCTGTCGACACAAGTAGCACACATGTACAATTTGTAAAGGGGTGAAGCAGCGCAGTGAAGGTATCCGTAGTGATCTGAAACCCATCAAGGCTCGTCGAATTGTTCATGCAACTCAACTTAAAATGTTTCACCGTCTCACTAACTTCCGTCGTTCGAAACTCGCACCCCGGTGAGCAAAACGCATTGCCATCGGTATCGACGTATGTGTCTTTGTTTTTGTTCTTTTTACTACTGCCTGCATCACCTGCAAATATTTCATCGGCATCTGTTCGGCTAACGTGTGTCAGGCACAGAAATGTGCTACGCTCATACAGAGCCACCTCCATCGCGTTGCAGCCAATGAGCAGTTTCTTCATCTCTTCCATGAGGACATCCCGGTGGGGTATGAGGGAGCGCACAACACTGCTGTACGCAAAATACAGCGAGTCCGACCAGATGCTCGTGGCAAAGAACTGAATGTTGCATGTACACTCGTCACCTTCAATTCGCGAGAGAATCTCCGCCTTCCTCGACTCAAAAATACTTTCACGAAGTTCCTTAGCGATGAGATCCATCTTATGCAACAGCACAAATATCTTCGCATGCGGGCTGTATTGTCGAATGTAATGCATGGCAGACTGAAAGTATTCCAACATCTCCGGCCGGCTCCAATCCGTTGACATCCCCCCATACGTGTCATTGCTCTCGCGGCTCATGCTGTTGATGTCAAACACAAAAAGCATCACACTGACACTGCGGAATATGTACTCCTTCTGGCGGTTGAGGTACTCCGCCACGTAGCGGTGCTGCCCACCGCAGTCCCACAGGTTGAGGTATAGGTTGTTAAACATGCGCACTTGGCTCTGGTCCAGCGAGATGGAGATACCCAGCCGTAAGACGTCACGTGGTAAATAATTGTCAAAGATGATGCTTCGCATGCACGTTTTCCCGGCCCCACCAGGCCCCATCAGTAGAAGCTTCTGGATTTGGTCCTGCATGACCCCCTCCTCCTCCACCCCCTAGCGATCCACTTGCCCAGTTCATGAGTGAAACATCAACCGGAAAAGAGAATAATGTGGGAGGAGGGGTGCAAAAAAAAAAAAAAAAGAAAGAAAGAAAGAAGAGAAAAGAAAAAAAAAAAAAAAAACAGGTATGTTAATTGTGAGTCATTGCCAACACGGCAGTTTACATTACATTCGCCGCCCACCATCTTCACCAATTCCCTCCCTTTCTTTATCCTTCTTTCGTAAAATAATAATAATAATTTATTTATTTGTATTTAAACAACAAAAACAACATCAAAAAAAAAAAAAAAAAAAAAACGGTCGCCACCACACACCATCACCACCCCCCACACACGCAATGTCTCTCCTATTCACACACACACACACACACACATAATATATTTATATATGAATAATGTATATGGCAATATAAATATAAATATGTACAACAAATCCTTTTACTCTTCTACTCCCAACAGCCCCTTCTTTTTTTTATTCGTCACGAAACAACAAAACAAAGAAAAACAAAAACAAAAAACAAAAAACAAAACAAAAAACAAAAAAAACAAAAACAAAACAAAAACAAAAAAAAAGAAAAAAAAAGAGTTGATGGCGATTTCATGTCACCGACACTTCCAGGAGTGACACAAATGTTGTGCCAAAGCCACCCATGTGTGATGGATGCTTCCCCACACATTAACTGATCTCACCCCCCCTCCCTCCCCCTACTGAAGCTTCATTTCCTTGTTGTTTTCACTATTCTGTTCACCACAAACAAGGGCACCATTAAATAAATAAATAAATAAATATATCTAAATTTATTTATTTGCTGCAACACCAACTGCAGAAAGCCCGAGGAACCCGTTTCCCTCACATGTACCACAATGACAACAGTGCCACCGTCCATGTATGCCCTTTATTTGGATATAAATCATAACTGCACACACACACACACACAGAGAGAGAAAGAAACAAAAGAATATATGTAAAGGGAGTTGCTATAAGCCCCCCCAACAAACAAAATTAACATGGAAGTATCGTCCTGGGATGCATCATTCCTTGTGACATGTTCCCCATACGCCCTGGCGGAAGCAAACGGCCCAAAGCGTAGAGCGGCACAAGAAATATGTATTTGTTTCATATCGGAATATCACGAGAGACGCAGTCACTTACAGTTGCCTCCAGGCACATACGGGGAGGGCAGATGAGACATGTAATCGCAGTACGCAGTGCACATACACGCAAAAAAAAAAAAAAAAAAAAAAAAAAAAGGGGAAATGAAGGAACTTTTCTTGTGTGTGTTTGTGTGCGTGTGGGGTAAAAAGTACGGCGGATCCTTTTTTTTTTTTTTGTTGGGAGACGAGAGACGGAAAAGGGGGCGGGTGAGCGGAAGGGCCAAAAACAAAACGGCACCACCCCCCCCCCAAATAATAAAATACAAAAAGAAAAAAATGGAAACTTAAAACCCCGCACGCGCACAAAAAAAAAAAAAAAAAAAGTAATAAAAATAATGAACTAAAATTTGGTGGCAGGAGCAAACTGCATGGGCCCTCGCAGCCCCCCCCTCTCTCTTTTTTCACGGCAAACAGACACCTCGCCAGGCACAAACACAAAAACACACACATTTCTCTTCTTCTTTTCACAGTCCATTGCTTGCTGTACACCTTATACGCCCCCCGCCCCACCACCTCAGAAACAAAGCAACCAAAAGAAGAAGAAAAAAAAAAAAAAAAAAAAAAAAAAAAAGAATGAAAAAAGCGTCCAAAAACATTAACAGGATAGAAAAAACAAAACAAAAAGAAACAAACAAACAAACGGGCAGCTTAAATGTCTGGCGCCTCCATACCCCTTCACCCAAGCGTACACGCAGATATTCACGCGCTTTACACATTTAGAAAAAACAGAAGGGCGGAAACACGCAAACACACAAAAATACACACACGCCTTTCCCTCTCCCCTCCCCTATTCTACTCACTCCAATGCAACAATAAAAGTAAAGAAAGTGAGATCCCGCATTCTTATTCCATAAACGCTGCAAACACAAACTCCCCGCATGGCTTTGGTGTCTGTGGTGAGCACGCACTAGATTCCACAGCTGATTTAAATTGCCTAAATCGCAGCTCCTCTTCTTCTTCTTTTCCGGCTCCAGATACGTGCATTATCATAATGGCCCCCAAATTGTTGTTAAACCCGCAGTAGTTTGGCACTGAGAAGAGTGTGAGCACCTTTTTCTCGTGGCTCCAGTTATATCCCTGCGAAACAACCTGGTGAGCTCTGCAGATGAAGTCAAATTGGTTCACTTGGCAAAATTCCTGAGTAGCCCTTATACCGAACATGTAGCCACATCCGCGCACATTTCTTTCAAAATACGGTATCACTTCTGTGGGATCGGACCACAAAAGACCATCCACAACCTCGCTAAGGACGTTGTCGAGTACACTGCCGTAGTCTATTCGTTCAATTGTGTTTACAATGTCAAATGCCTCTGAAAGAGGTGGAGAAAGACCTCCGTGCGTGGCAAAAAATCGCATTCTCGGTGTCGTGACCACTGCAGCAAGAGGCAAATAACAGAACACTTCATTGAAACGTACCCAGGGAGCATCACAACCAAATTTCAAATTCACTTCACTATAAAAACCATATATACGAGATGTTTGTGGCTCTTCGTGATTCCCTCGCAGGATATGAATAAGTTGCGGGTACTCCACCTTCAGTGCAAATAGCAGCAAGACCACCTCCACCCCGCACGGCCCCCGATCCACATAATCCCCTAGAAAAAGAAATTTACGGTCCAATCCATCTACATTTAGTTGCTTATCGGACTGCTCCGGTAAAATATGGGAGAGAAGCGCATTGAGATCACCATGAATATCGCCCGCGACCACAAGTGTCTCCTTTTCCTTTAATTGGAGATTTAACAATGTCTTTTCCACCTCCAAGACGGCTCTAACTTCATCGCAAAGCTGGTCCACCACCTCTGTGGTGAAGAACCGTCGCGCCTCGACATCGGCCGAAAGAGGCCTTCCATCTTCCATGGGTTTATTCACGGCTTGTGACACGGGTGATGACGTGCCGGAGCGCAGAATACTATCAATAAGTTCCAAAAAAATGCCTTTTCGCGGAGGTGCAGAAAAAAACAAAGAACGCGGCGAAAGTGTTCCAGCAGAGGAGGTTCCGAGGGGACTCCCATCGCACATCAAACGGCCCAACTCCTTCTCTCCATTCCCCTGTGTCGCCTTGTCCGGGTCGTCGGTGTGCCTTTCCTCCCCGTTTTCGTCAAAGGCGAAAGCGACAGCGCTCTGGCATTCCGGCACTCCTTCCATTTCACACGCAATCCTTCTAACCCTCCCCCCTCCCCCCTAGAGACAGAAGCAGAGACACACACACACAAAAAAAAAAAAAAAAGAAAAAAAAATAATAATAATTAATACTTTTCTTTTTTCTCCTTTTCCTTTTTTATTTTCTATGTTTCAAAGTTATACTCTTCTTATGTTTCAAATCTGTTTTTTTTTTGTTTTTGTTTTTGTTTCGCTCCTGGTGGCGTGTCCTCCTCCTGCCCTTCTAAATCCAGCTGACACGCACAATCAACAAGCAGAGAGAGAGAGAGAGACAAAAGAAAAAAAAAAAAAAAAAAAAAAAAAAGGGTATGAGGCAACCTATCGGAGAGAGAGAGAGAAAGAAAGGAAAAAAGGAGGAAACCCCAAGCGGTGAAGCAACGGAGAAGAAAACAAAACAAAACACAAACACAAAAACTGCAGAAAAAAAAAAGAAAAAATAAAAAAAGACAGAAGTGATAGGCCGCAAAAAGTGCACACGTGTCAGAGGAAAGGCACCAGTAACAGGGAAACACAGCAACAACAAAGTCGGTGTAAAAAAAAAAATAATAATAAATAAAAAAAAAAAAAAAAGGAAATAAAAAGGGGTAAAAGATTGTAGCGGTGGTGAGAAAAAAAAAAAAAAAAAAAACAATTTTATTCATTTTGGGTGCTTCACTTACCAATTTTTTCTTTTCCACTCATTTTTTTTTTTCTTTTTTCTTTCAACGTGTGTCTCTGTATGTTGCCTTTTAACTGACGACTGGCCGCCACCTCTCAGTGTGTGTGTGTTTCCTCTCAATTTCCTTCGCTTTGGTCTCGCGGTGCGCCCCCTTCCCCTCCCCCCTCCTACACCGCGATCGTGCATGTGTGCGCCCCCTGATTCGCTCCTCACATTCCCACCCCCTCTCTCCCCCTTTTTCGCACCTCTTTTTCTTTTTATTTCGTTTTTTTTTTTGTTTTGGCCGCGCACCGCACACGCTTCGCGCTCACGGATTGTTTTCTCGGAACGTTTGTGTTCCGGGCGTCTGTTGCGTTCGCTCCCGATTCTGCCGCTTCTTCTTCTCATTGTCCCTCCCACCCTCCCTCCGCTGCGCCAATCACACATCTTTTCTGTTCATCGTTTTGCTCCTGTTTTTTTTTTTTCTTTCTTTCACTGTTGTTGTTGTTGTTCTTTTTTTTTTTCCGTCTTTTTTATTTTTATTTTGTTTGTTCGTCTGGCCCGCTTCTCCCGTTTTAGTACTTTGAGCCCTCCTCCGGCTGCGGGAGTTTCTTGTTTGCCGGCTGCGCCATCTCGCGCCGCAACTCGGCAAGACAGTTCTCCATCGTGTAGCGGCGCTCCCAGTTCTTAAAAATGTGGAACTTCGTCTTGTCGACCGTGCCGTCCGCATTCACGCACGGCAGATTCACGCGGCTGACAAATTTGATGTGCGGCGGCCTGTTCGGGTAGTCTTCATCGCAGAAGATCTCTAGGGAAAGAATGCGATTCTCAAACGTTGTGCCGGCCGGTCCAACGATGGTCCCGTTCCAGTGATGGAGATAAATGTCGTCCGTGCCGCTAATGCCGACCGACACGTTCTGGTTCGACCCTGTCCCTTTTTCACCCGCCTCAAGTTCCTCCAGCAGACGAAAATTGCGCGGCACCTCCACCATCGTTGCGTATTGTTTGTATGTCTTTAAATGTTACTTTACTTGCCTTGTCCGTGTTTCCCTGATTTTGCTCTTCCTTCCAAATAGAGAGAAAGAGGAAGAGAGAGAGAAAAAAGGACCTCAGAGTGCAACACGCACCGGCATGAAGAAAAAAACAAAAATGTTAGAAAAGAAAAACAAACAAACAGCATATATATATATATATCTGTATGTGTGCCTGTGTTTGTGGGTAAGTGTGCAGAAACAGGTTTGAATGCACGCACCGATTTGTTAATAAGGCTCACAAGGGCAGTTTTGACTCATCAATGCGTAACACTAATAGCAGCAAAGAAAGACAACAATGAAAAGACAAAAAAAAGAAAAAAAGGAAAAAAGGAAAAAAAAGAGAAGGAGAGGAGAGTTGAAGACACGCAACAGTAAGTGATGTGATAGAGAAAAGTCATTCATTCAGTGAAAGAATGCATCCAGGGCGAAATCAAATATGTGTTGGGCACAATAAACACACCGCACAGACAAGACGGGTGAAACCACATTTATGTATATATGTATGTATATCTACCCAATTGTAATGTACACCAATGTGTACTTTTTCTTTTTTTTTTACCCCCCCTTTTTTTTTTCTCTCTCTCTCTCTCCCCGCAGGAAAAGAGGAAGTGACAGAAAAATGTGGCACCCATAACCGTAAACAAACAAACAATCAAACGTGATAATTCTGTAGCCATCTGTCATATCGGCAAACCGCAGAATTGTGCCACAAGTTCTCCATCTTTTCATAAACCACGTGTAGTCACGCAGCGCGGGGCGAGTAGCATCACACCCACCCACACAATCGAATAATAAAAACAACAACAACAAACGCCGATGTTTATATATTAAATAAACACATAAAAATATACTCAATAAAAAAAAAAAAAACATCATCATCCTCTTGCTGCAGTTGTTTACCTCCTTTTCTCTCCTTCTTTCTCTCTTTCCCTCCTCCTTTTCCCACCCCCAAATTTTCTAGTTGTTGTTGTTTTCCTCCTTCC